GACCCACCAGTTGAGAATCACTGGTGGAGGCCACCACACAGGAGATAACTTCTGCTGGTGTTCAATGAATGCAACTGGGGCAGAGTATTCAAGGAAATCTATAAATATTCCCCCAGCTCCAATGACAGGCATTGTGGTTATTTATAAATCCCATCCAGCTGAATGTGCCGAATGCTGCGTCACAATCCGAAACAATCACACAGATGCAAGACACAATCAGCAACTTTCTTCGGGTTTTTCTCAGCTGCGGCACCATGTGGAAAATGTGACACCAACAGGTCTGATAAAAGGGCTACCTTCTGAGAGGGGGCGGATACATTGGTGACCACTCGCTCTCTCATTTGTTATAATTTTATAATATATCGTTTCACGGGTACGTAGTCGCACTCCCATTCCACTTCAGGGGGAAGGCAGTGCAGCCATTTGTCAATTTTGACAAGTTGAGTAAACCAGCCACTCACTGAGCACCTCAGCACAAACTAATACCAAGGTGAACCAGGGGCGGTCTGTGGACTGAATTATTATTATTAATATTATTATTTCTGCCCTGAAGCAGAGAGTAAACCCTAAGAGGCAGGGCAAAGGCCTTCCTGTTCCATACTGAGCTCCCAAAAGATTTTATAGTAATACAACAAATACCTTGTATTACTATAAGGTCACATAACATTTCTGGACCGCGGTCCAGCCTTCTGTCATGGCCATGGCCAGGGGGCCAATAATGGTGTACGAAGCTTCTTACACCATTATTAGTCCCATTACTATTACTGTCAACATGAATGCACATCACCAACATTGTTTCTTCCACAGAGTCTTTGTGCTTTCTCTCCTCACAGGTTTCCAAGGACCATGGTTCCGTCTGGACCCCGGTCCGGCCTCCTGCCATGGCCCTGCTGACATCTGATGGTGGTTACATCTGATGGTGGTTCTATCAGATGGTGGTTGCATCTGATGGTGGTTGCATGTGATGGTGGTTCTATCAGATGGTGGTTGCATGTGATGGTGGTTGCATGTGATGGTGGTTCTATCAGATGGTGGTTGCATGTGATGGTGGTTGCATGTGATGGTGGTTATATGTGATGGTGGTTCTATCGGATGGTTAATATACCTGATGGTGGTTACATCTGATGGTGGTTGCATGTGATGGTGGTTCTATCGGATGGTTAATATACCTGATGGTGGTTGCATGTGATGGTGGTTCTATCAGATGGTGGTTGCATGTGATGGTGGTTCTGTCGGATGGTGGTTGCATGTGATGGTGGTTGCATGTGATGGTGGTTATATGTGATGGTGGTTGCATGTGATGGTGGTTCTGTCGGATGGTTAATATACCTGATGGTGGTTGCATCTGATGGTGGTTGACCCTGCAGTAGTCCTGCCTTACGCCTGGCTTGCTACTCTCAATATTATTATTATATATCATTTTTGTTTTATGAATGTCCTGTATTTCCGTTGTTCATTCTGTACACATGACATCCACTGCAGTCTGTCAGGAGAGGGATCCCTCCTCTGCCGGTCTCATTATTTTCCTTTATTTTCCCCTTTGAGGGTTTGTTTTGTTAATTTGTGATGTTGGGCTGAACAAAATAAAATGAATTCAATTGAATCTGAAATCTGGTTACAAATACAGAATTATCAGAGACACGAGAAGATGGAATGTCAATGATCGCGCACACTGGACAACAATGAGCCGCCGATCCCTCATCAAAAACATACTTACATCCCGAGACCTTTCGCAGTGGGCCAAAGAACAGCAGCAAAATGAACAGATGAGACAGTTTCACCACTAATGTCCTCACGGTAAAAGACACGCACACCGGAATTAAAGGTTGCTGTTGTGACTACCTGAGGCGACACCACGGAGGCAGAATCCATTAGTCATGCACAGCTTACTCCCCAAGTCAAGAGCAGGCGGAAACAAAGGAACACATTAACACAGCTGCTCTCCTAACAGTAATGAGAGGCAGAGAGGCGGATGCTGGCGGGCAGGCCGTGGTCAGACACAGCTCGACTAGAAGCCCTGGCCTTTGGATTTCCACTTCACGGAGGAATCACTCCATTTGGGGAACATCTGTTATCCGGAGAAGTTGATATATACGTTTCTGTGATGCTAATATACGCTTCTTTTGCTTTTCAGTGATTGTAACAGTGACTAAAGACTCACTCGGCTTTAGAGGAACGCGCTCGTGCCTTCATTTCATCGACCTCTGTCTTGATCCCCAGGGGATGTGCTGACTCACGCTTACACCGATCTGTAGCTTCAGCTTCTGCCTTTAGTTTTCAACCTGTGGTACTCGCTAAATCAGTTTGACATGATGGCGGTATCCATCAAAACCATTTCACTGATAGCGCCTTTTTTATATTCAGGTTCACTGTTTTCAGTGAATGCACTTATTGACAGTGTGAGCTCCATAGCTTTAATGGCTTAAAGGAGAAGCAATGATGAGCCTCAGCACAGGGTAAATTATCCTCGGGCCTATTTGGATCAGTTCTGACTGAGCCGGGTGAATCCTGCAGCTGCGCCTCTGTGTTTGGAAAACTAAGACAGAAATGCACAAAAATGTCCCCGTCTCACCCTCCTCCACGATGACAGACTTGGTATCCATTCCCCCCGGAGTCCAAGACCCCCTTGGAAACCCACCACCACAGAATACCAGAGGGTATAATGACAACCATCAATATCAGTCCCCAAAGGCTATGCTGAAAACACTCGTGGCTACTTGGGGGTTTTGTCTGCAAGTTTCAACACATGAAAATGGAGGCCGATGACGGAGTACTACACGCCGGTGGCATAGTGCAGAGCGTCAGAGGGCTCACGAGGAGCAAACAGAAGGAAACTCAAGCCGCCAGGTGTGCTCCTCGTAGCATCTGTTTTTGACGGCTAGTACAAGGTGATCAATATGTATTCTCAATTCCGAGGTTAACTGTCTCTTTAATACAAGCACCACCGCTGATATCATGGTTTGAATTCCTAATAAAAAATGATTTAATAAAACTGACGCGCAGGATGACCCGGAATCTACACGTGGAAGACCAGAGAAGTTCAAAATAGAAAGGCTGTTCTTATCATTTAGCAAATGTTCCTCGCCCAGTTATTCTCACATCCACCGAGTATGAAAGCCGACGATCCGCCGATAAAGCCGCCCGACGCAGTAGCGGCAGGTTTTCTCGCCGTACAATCTCCCCTGCGGCAGCGTGTCACTTCCTAACCGCCTTAAGGGACCCTCGTGTAATTGTGTTCATTATCCAATCTCCATAGCTACCTCCTCCCGTAAGCTCCAGTGTGACCTCAAATGTCACGCGGCACGCAACTCCCGCCGCGCGTTGGTAATTGATGTACGCTTGCTCCCGACGTTTCCTCTGCAAAAACACCCCGTAATGGAGTGGGACAGCTCAAGACCTCCCTGTAATAACAAAGTGTTCAGCACTCGTTCTTTGTACGGTCTTCATCTCCACGGCTAATTAGAATCAATAAACATGGAGAACAAACACGGCTCATTAGGGCTTTCACCATCTCCTTTGTGCCCCCCGGCAGAAAGCCTACAGAGTGATATCTCTTCTTTTTTTTTCGCCCCGCACGCTGAAAAAGCTTCTTTTAGAACTGCTGAGTGCGGAATGCATCAAGACTCCCCTGCCCCCCCCCCCCCCACCCTCCTGCATTGAAAACGCTCCGAAGCTTTTGAAGCCCGCGTCCCACTGCTCAACGCTCTCAGGGTTTTCATCTCTTCCAACTCATCTCTCCTCATTTGCTCTGGGCCTCGCTGAGCATCTGTAATGAACGCAGAGGAGAAAGGACACGGAGAGCCAGGCAGGGCGTTACTGTGCTCTAAATGTGTGTGTGTGTGTGTGTCTGTCCAGCTCGCGACGATGCAAACCCGGAGGCCGCAGAGTAGCACCGGCTCGTCGCTCATTTTTTCCGTTTCGCCATTCCGGGCAGTAAAAGTGAATTGGGAGGGAGGTGATGTGTCATCACAGGAGTCTGCTTTGCCAACTCCATCACACGTTCTCTTTCATGTGAAAGGGATTGTGAGGAGTGTCATTTTTCACAAGGAAAGTGAAGACCCCACAAGAGAAAGCCTTGCGTGGGGGAATGGCAGCGTCCGACGTGTGAGGATAAACACAGTGAGACTGTTAACCGGCATCAGGACAGGAGCCATGGATACGCTTCTCTTCAATCTCGGCTCAGCATGTGCCTGCACACGTGTGACCACACTTGATACTTCATTGCCAACTGCCTGATCACATAGTGGTCCTGTAGATTTGCACATAGTGGTCCTGTAGATTTTTCGGTCAAAGTGGCTCCTCAAAAACGGTCTCATGAACTCTTTACAACTGAAGCATGTGATATTTGTGTTCCTTGCCCTTTGTGATCGTGGACCTATCATGATCAAAGAGAAGCTGAAATCAAAGCTCCTCATTCACTGGTGAACATACAAGTCCTTCACAATAAAAGTTATTTTTGCTGCTGACCCAACGCCAGCGAGATCAGATCTCGCATAGTAAAGACAGTCAGGGCATAATCACATGACAGACATTGAAAGTGACTGGGATGTCCTGGCAGGGGCGGACTGGCCATAGGGGACACGGGTTCCCCAGGGGGCCAACGGGGTGTTGGGCTGGTCCCCCCTCCATCACCAACTACCCTGTCATGTGACATCGCTGGACTCTGTGTGCTTCACAGAACACGTTAAAATGACTGCTAGGGCTGCGCTACCCCTCACGAACCAGTATCACTTTATTCCATGTGTCCTCGCAGGCTAATGCATCCAAATGTTCTGGACAAAAACATACATGATGTCATTTCTTTGTGTGTGTGTGTGGCTATTTTCCCAAGTGGGCCACTGACTGGTCGATAGGTGCGATGCATTGAGGGGGCCGTTCTGACAGTAACTCCCGGGCCCCTTTTTCCCCCCAGTCCGCCCCTGTGTTATGGACTTACAAAGCTGTGGTCTCGCTGGAGAGAAGGTAACATCCATAAAAATAAAACAAAAACCTTTATTTACCCAAAAGATGCTGACTTCCATTTGCGACAGGGGTAGCTTCTTCTACACGGTGGGGCAATAAGGTTTAGAGGGGTCTCTGAGACTTCTACGGGCAAAGAGGCGTGTCGCCTGCAACACAAAAAGACAAGAGGCACATTGAAGCGTGTTCAGTTCATAACGGACATTTCCAGAAGAAAAACAAACAATGCAGCAAGGTGAGCACGGAGGTTCCCGCCGCGGCGCAACTGGCAGCGTGCCGAATTCCGGCGGTGGGGTTCCGTGGGCACGCAGTCTCGCAGCAAGCCAAGCGTCGCATTTGGCCGACCCGAGAAAGACAGATTACTTTTGTCCACCGCCCGCAGCATTTTAATGCCTTTAAATCAAGGCCGGGAACTCTCGCGCATGCATCAACACAATGGGCTGAGTCAGCACAGCAGAGCGCGGAGGTAGAGAGTGGGCCGCGAGAAGGAGAGAGATGCTGGCGATGAGACACGATCAGAATGTAATGCGGGATGACGACACAGGCTGTGGTGAGCAGACAGGAACAGGAGGGAAGCGCGAGACGGGCAGGAAGCAAAGGACAAACGAGCAGATGCTATCGGGCTTGTTAGCGTAATTACTCTGCCACTTCACACCAAAGTTTAAGTGCAGATGTTTCAGTAGATATTAGAGACAGATATTGGGATGGATCACCGAGCATTTCTATTTGCGGCCGCTCCAATCGGTGTTGGGGTCTCCAATGAAAACATTCATTAGCTTATAAGTGCCAAAGATGTTTTTGCCGCTGTACATTTTAGCCAGCCTGAGACACCTTTGTTAGTGGACCTTATTTGGATCACCTTTGTGTATTCGTGAGAATATGGATCAAACCTGCTGTTTGTATCACGGTTTGTATAAACTAACACAACCAGCTGTTTGACCTTTCAAGGTCCACTCTCATTAAACCATTCAATGATGAGGCTACTTCGAGATGGCACTAATCATCCCATCCAGCTGATTTCCTGCATGGTAACCAAATGAAGTCTACAAAGTTCAAATAAATTTTGCTTTGGTCGTAAATTTGCAGCCATGTTGAACTATGATATTGTAATTGTGACGGTATCAGCATTAATCCAAATCCGGGAATTGGTTGGAAACTGAAAAATGGTTTGGTGCATTTAGCACCACACGCAGTTTTCTCTACCATCATATTAGCGGGGCACCCCATGAATTTATTTATATATATATATTACATTTTGCTGTATCATTTCTGTAAAATCTCTGCTCCATCAACCATTTTGGGTTGATAAAAACTGTTAGCTTGTTCATGTCTCCACAGGGTCATCAAGTTCAGTTTGCTAGCTCTGCACAGCTCCGCCCCTCACTAGTGCGTATCCAATAAGGAGACGGGAACATCCTGGGCCTAGCTGGCCCTGCGCTGGATTCGAATCGTCAAATTTGTTTAGAAAGGTTCCTAACTGAGTGAAATGACCAGGAACTGCAATCCTCCTCCTCCTCCCTCCCCCCGCCGATTGGTTGGTCTGCAACTGTTAGCTACCTACTACCCCCCCAACCCGTCGGACAGTTAGTCAGGTTTATCTGCCACGCCTCCAAGACCGGCGTGCGAAGTGTCGTCTAACATGAAAACGGTCCGTGAGGCAAAAAAGTTTGAGGACCCCTGATCTTGAGGAATGGAATCCTGTTAAAAAGACGGACATTTTTCAATTGCCATTGATCCATCTTTGTCACTGAGGATGGAGCTTTTCCAAATATGTTAAAATATTGATTTTGTTTTCTTCGCAACATTTAAAATATGCTCACTGTAAGTGGTGCTTTTGAAATGATATAACATGACGCATACAAACATCCAAGTAGTTGCCCTCTATAGCAGCGGTGCCTCACGGACCCCAGGTTGGGGACCACTGCTCTAAAGCATCCGCCGTATCCTCCTGAACTCATTGCAATTTAATTCAGCTTGTGATGGGAAGGCCCTGCGCAAACTGTAGCTCCAACAGCAGCCTCCCCTCTGAATAAACGCGCCCCAAGGACAAACGGGTTGTTCTCTTTTGCGACCCAGAGCTGCCAGTAATAATCTCATCCATGGAGGTTAAGTCCTGGATGGAGATTTCCCACTGCCTAGCATATAAGCTTCCTGTTATCGCTGGAGTGCAGGTTCTCTGCTTACATTAAATCTCTAAACAGCCAGGCTCCCAAAAGTTCTAAACTGTCAGAGGGCTGCCAGCGTGGTTTCAAGGACTAATTGAGCTTAATAATGGCGCTTATGCTGAGAAAAACACACACAGAGTCAAAGTCATTACAGACACACCGTGTCTGCTTTTTACAATATAACATTGAGCTTAAGTTCAGTGTTAAGTAGAGCAGATGTACTGTTACGATCGTGTAATTGACTTATTCAACTTACTGAAATTTGCATTAAGACACTTTTTAGTGCCTCCTTGGAACGGTAACCTGAATGTTTTAATCCTCATTAAGTAGCAGTACTGTGCACCGACCGCAACCGTTTCATTATGTGTACCTTTATAGTTGAGCGTAGCTCTCCAAAGGGGTCGACAGGGAAGATCTTCATGTCTAGTTTAAATTAATTACACAATACACCACGATACCCTTGTGTTATTTCTCTTGAGTTCAATTTTGATTTTAAAAAGTGTTGATTTCAGCACAACCTCGTGGACCTGAAAAAGCCACTTAATAACAAATACATTTTGTTATAAGTAAAAGGTCATTTTGCCACGTGGAAGGCAGGAAGCCGTAGAAATGCTCTGAATTTCTAACTCGTTTTCAGGTCTGCAGCCAGTGGTGTATGTAAACGCATTCTGGGAGAAGTGATACTAATGTGGAGTTTTCTGTTGCCTTAATGAGTGTAACTCTTTTTTTAACTTTAGAGGAAAATGAAACATCTGTCTGTTTAGCTGCTGCTGCAGGCCTAACTACGGAGGAAGGTAGTGTCCTTTGAAAACAGCTTCCTACTGTGGAACGAGCCTCACGAATGAGTAAATGCACTGCAAAGCAACAGAGAAAGCAATTAGCTAAAAGACGCCGAGGAAGCTCTGTGAAGACCCACTTGGGGGATAATTCTCTGGTGCTTTATCAGCTCTAGTGGCGTCTCTCATATTACACAGACCATTCATTCAATATTAATTTTAATTAATTTTGGTGAGCTTTTATTGGCAAAATATAATTTGTTTGATATAATACATTATGTACTAAAAATATAACTCAGTTAAATATTAGGAAGGATCTTTATTATTATATCATTTTGAAAAAATATATATTTTAAACGTCTGCTTTTACCTGATGACCTTTATTCCTTTTCCTTTCCATAATGTCACTTTTCATTACCAGATTGTTTTTCTTCAGCCACAACGTCCGCATGGCCTTCTGACCCAGCTAGCTAAACAAACCGCACTGCCCTTTCAACCTGTCAATCAAACAGGGACAGACAGATTGAGTGTGTACCTATAAGTGTCTCTCTCTCTGTTCACTAATCAGTCACAGACTGAGGAAACGGAACAATAGGCGTTTGCTTGAAAATGTCATGAATCAATACTCGTGATTTTAAATCCCATTCCTCTGGAAAGTGACCAGCTCCTGTGTGCGTAACGCAAAGCGTTTAAGTGTAGCGATGCTGTGAGTGACAGTTTGGTTCCATCTCATGCAAACTTTAAGACAGTGGATTTTATTAGTCAAACAAGTAGTGGACGGTCACATTTTTACCTGATCGTAATTCCAGTATCATTTCATCATTACATTACGACCTACTAGCAATCTTTTTTTTTTCCCAGTAAGTCAACGTTATGCAAGCCAGAGGGAGCATCCCAGCGAATAAAACACTAATTACAGCAAGCGAGCTGGCGTTGGTCGGTAACTTGGGTGTCTTGTGTCAAAGGTGACGTCCCCCTCCTGGCCTCGCTCTCCACGATGCGGCCGCCACTTCCAAACCCGAGGTCAGCAAACCCAGGAACGTCCCCCGTGTCCCCGTCCACTCCTCATCCGCAGTCTCAGGGGCTGTGAATACTAGTTCTGTGTTTGGCGAGTGTGAGGAGTCAATACTGTACACACCCGCTGCTAATCAGCACACAGCAACGAGGTCACCTCATCGGAGAGCGCGGACCGGCGCCGCTGCACCCGCACCGCCCGTCCGCGCTCAGTGCAAAACAAACGCAGCTTCCAGGCGTTACGAGCCTCGATGCGGCACTAAACTAGCGGCATATAAATATACGCATGCATATATTTTCAAATTCAACATTTCCTGCATAAATTCCAGGGATGAAATATCCCCGCCTCTTTACTTCCTCCTGATGGATGAGGAGCAGCATCTTCCCCCAGTTACGTAACACAGGGTCTACCGGTTATTGTGCTTCTTAAAAACCAAACACAGGTTTTAAGCGTTTTTTCCTTTATGTAATATGTAAAATCCAAATCTTAAGCTCTGTCGTGCCCCAGAATCTGTGAGCATACCTACTCATGGTATTACTTCACAAAGAGAGGGGGCAGGTTATGTGGGAATGAATGGCTTAGTTAACCCATGTTGGGTTTACTAAGCCATTCATTTGCATATTTTTCTATTTCGTTCAACGTTTAAGGGAGAAATCCAGGAACAAGCCTGAAGAAAATCAGTATCAGAGGGCGTCATCGAGGCCTCAAAGTAGCCGTGCGCTGCTTATGATCAAAGCATTATTTTATCCAAAGAAGAAAGTGGAACAGTGACGTGGTGACCTGGGAGTTTTAAACAATATCATGTTGACACAATCCAATTAACCTTCTCTGCTCCGGTGCGAAGCCTTTGGAAATCAGCTCTGCTTGTAGTGCCGCTCCCTCTATCGTTCTCTCCATCTCATTTCTCTCATCAGCACCACATCAATGAAGTCAAGAGGGAGATACAGATATTCATAACCCTCGTAGCTAACGCAGGGATTTAATAATCAATGGATCCCCCTGCACAGATCATACCGTGTAATGAGGCTTGCCCTAAAAAAAAGAGGATGAAGATGAATTATTGCAGTTTATCGAACCTTTGAGCAGAAAGTGCTGGGATCCGTGTCACATTCAAGGATTACGGCTCAATTTGGCCACTTTGTTTCGCCGTGCGTTGGCGCCGCCACCTCCGAGGGCTTTGAGCCGATAAGGTG